ACCGCAGCACCACCCACGTGGGCGTGATAATGATGCGGATGCGAGTGCGTATGCGTATGCGGATGCGGATGGTGGAGCGATGTCTGGGACTCGCGTTCTTTGAGGCCATGTCCGATATCGCTGTCGAAGGAGGTCAGGGTGAATGTGGATGAAGCGGCGAGGCCCAGGCCACCGTTTGCCATGGCACCACCTGAAACAGCATTTGCGGACATTTTCTGATACGGCACACGGCAGCCACCATTACCACCGGAGGAGCCATCGATGTTCACCAAATTGCCAAAGCTGCGACTATTAATTGGCAACGTCCAATCCATGCTGCTGGTGTGAAAGATTGCCGGTTGCTGTGGGGTCTTCTGATGTTGCTGTGGGGTCTGGTGTTGCTGTTGCTGTTGCATCTGGTGTTGCGTGTGTGGCGACTGTTGTTGCTGCTGCTGCTGCTGCTGTGGGAAACTCAGCAGCGATTGCGAAAAGCAGCGACATCGCTGCTGCTGAAAGTGCGCCATTTGTTGCTGGTGGTGTTGCTTCTGCAGGTAGCGACTGTAGTGGGCCAAGTGCCTTGCATAGTCGCTGCTCGGCCCAATGGTATTGTATTTCGAGGATACATTGCCGCCCGGCAGGAAGCACAGGCTGGGATCCGATTTCTTCGAGTGTGGCGAGAATATCTCGTCCTCCTCGTGGGCGGCAAAGGAGGGCGGGGGCGGGTTGGTGGGCGTGGCATTGTTCGGCAACTTGTGCCTGTGATTGTGGGCATGGCCAGGCGGTTGGCATAGGTCTGGCTTCACCTGATTGTTGTTATTTTGGTAAATGTTGCTCGCGTTGGTGCAATTATGGCTGGCATTGCTGTTGCTGCTGCTGTGATTGCTGGTTGTGGTGCACTTGAGCAATGTGGCAGTGCATTCATCCAATGCCGATTTGGTGCAATCCTGCAGCAGATCACTGCTGCACAGCTGCGACACGTTGTTATTGTTGCTGCAGTGCTGCTGCTGCTGTTGTTGCTGCTGCAGATGTTGCAACAATCGCAGGCTGCGCATGCTGCCGTTGCGTTTCATCGACGGCGGCGGCGGCACAGGCGGTATGACATCAACATCCGACAGGCTGGGCGTATCGCTCTGCAAAGAGAAAAGAGGAAGTGAGTATCAAAGCTGTTGACAAAAGGGAAATCGCATTAAATCAATATGGACATGAGCAGCTTCCGGCGGATGTAACCCCACAACGTGACCTCGAAAAGGATTCAACTCGCAATAAGTTTACTGTGAGCCTATAGAAACTGTGTAATGCCCTTCTATTTGGAAAAATTAAATAAAGATTGCGATATTCATTTAGGTAAAAGTGTCTTTTAATAAAAGAAAAAAAGTGGATACAATGAAATACCTATAAATATAGGTATAATAAAATTAACTATTAAAGAATATTTAAATTAACATTTTTTTTTTGTTTTTGAAAAGTTTAAAAGAACAGTTTCTTAAAAAAAATGTCCCTACTGAAATTCAAAAGCATACCTTGACACGTTTTTTACCCTATAATTAAAAAATATTTTAAATTTCATCTTGAATAAATTTCCATTTTTATAGAGATCACAACGCTTGTATCTTGAATTCTTAAAACTACTGACAAACATTAAAGGGACCCCCTTGGAGAGTGTAATAAAAACTGCCTCTCAATACCGTAAAAACTTTCACTCCACTCGTAACGAGCATCAAAAAAAATGTGCAACGCACTCTTTTTGACGTTACTTGGCGAAAAATTTCCAGAAGGAGCCAGAGATTTACAGTGATGGTGCAAAGTGTGGACGAGTGAAGACGCTCCTTTGACCCCCTGGCTACATAAAATTTAATTATTCCATAGACACCGGGGCAGACCGGGGAGTCTTTCACACACAGAGGGCCATAAAAGACGTGCGAAAAAGGCCAAGAAAAAGGTTTATCCCCCGAATTCTCACAAAAGTTTTCCATAGTCGAGGCCATGCCAAGTGCCCTAATTGAATTTGCTACGGTCAGCATCAGCATAATCATAGTCATCATCGTCTTCATCATCATCATCGTCATAATCATCGACAGGCGATGCTCAGGGACTTCAAATTGAATTTCAGTTACGGGAAATACATTTGCATTGATTTGCTTTCCTTCCCCCATTTTCCCATTTTTTTTATTTTTGGTGGAATTATTTTTATGCGTCTGGGCGAAACGAAACGCATTGCCATTAATAAAAATTTCCTTTGAATTTTGATTGCTTTATGCCCAGTCCCGAACATTGTTGTCTGTGTCTTTGTGTTGATTGTTTTTTATTTACTTTGTCTTGTCCTTTTCAATGGCGGTGTCGTGTCCTGTCGCATCCTGTCCGCTGCTTAAGTGGAAATTGAAATTTTCATATTTTCATTTGATAATTTATTTATTCTTTTGGCCCTCCGCCTGACGACAGCTCAAATAATTTATGCAAATATTTAGCGGTGGCGTGTGCTGCATATTTAAGACAGGCCAATTTGTATTTTTTCCCATCGTGTACTTTTTAGTTTGATACTTTTTGTAGCAAGGTTATTTGTTTTTGTCTGTTGTATCAGATCAAAATTGGAAATGGAAATAACCCCGGTCCTTTAAGCATAAAAATAATTTTATGTATGAATTATAGTATTTATTTTAAACTCATAATAAATAAATTCTTTTAAGAACAGGAGAGAATAGTAAACAAATTTGTAATACAAATTATTTTTTAGTTTAGCTTATCTGTCTTTTCCAACTATTTTTCTTCATTATTTTATTTATAAAAAGCCCTTCTCACTTTCCCCCCCAGCTTTTCACTCGTTACTTGCAGCTGCTGTGACGGCAAATCACTCTCTAATTAAACGAGCGCTCTCTCAGCTTTCCCTATTTTTAGTCCCTTAACCCTTTAGCCACATACATATTTATAAGGCGAATAAATTCGCAAAAATGTAAGCTACAGTATATGGTTATTTGGCATTTTAGCCGCAAATTTGACGCTGAGTTTATGGGGTTAAATGAGGGTTTGGAAAATATTAGGGGAAACAGGAAGGGCTTGAAGACTTGTGGTGAACCGCATCGCGTTGCGTTTTTAAGCATTAAATTGCTTGATATATCGCCTTAGTTTTTCCTCGCGACTTTTCCCCAGGCTTTTCTACTCAGCCACTCTTTGCATGGACACTTTTTCAGGATCCCCTTTCGCTCGCTTCTCATCTTGGTGCTCTCTTGAATTATGCTTTGCGTCTTTGTCTCGTTTTAAATTTCATAATGCACATTTTATAATAATTTTTCGTCTACTTTGCTGCAATTTTGTGCAATTTTTTACTGTAATTTATGTAGCTGTGTGAGTGTGAGTGTGTGTGTGTGTATGCACACCCTTCTCTCAACTTTCTTGCTACAGTTACAACAATTTTGCCATGGAAAAGTGGCGAAGGCAAGGGGATTGTGTGTCGGGCGTAATGTTGAGTTATTGCAGTTTTGTAGTTTGCGAAAAACTTTTTTACGAACGTCTCTCTGTCTCACTTTTTCCCTCTGTTCGGGTGTTTAGTTAAATGTTCGTAAAATTGAGTGTTGGTTATATTTTACTGTAACTTTGGCTGTCCTTTCACAGTGCTGGACTCTCCCTTCCCCCGCAAAATACAATCGCCTTTAATCGATTTGGCAAAAGCAATAAGCAAAAAACTTTTATAAATACTCAAGTTTGTTTTAGTTTTTCCTGAAGTCCGAGAACTCTGCCAGCCAATTTGTAATTATCCATCAGAGCTTTTAACTTTACGACTTTATCAAGGGCCATTTCGGCTTTTGTTTTGACTTTAAAAGCCAGCTGGCCAAAATGGAAAACTGTCCAATTATTAGGGCTGTAAACGTGGCGAGCTTGTCCATAAAAACGGCGTATATGGCTTCTGTCCAGACTTTATTCACCGTATATTAATTTGTTACTGGCTTAAGTTTTTATTAAAATGCGGTGATTATTATTTATTTTAACGTATTGAGTATACGTCATGTGGACTCGACAAGTGCAAGTTATTAAATATTCATGGAAGTTAAAGCGGAAATAGTTTCTAATTTTTTTTATTTTGCAAAAACAAAATGTGTCCATATTTGCTACATCATTTTTTTTAGCGATATTACAAATCGATATTTTCTTTTGTTGCACGCGATTTTTTAAACATCGAACGAACATCCAATAAATGATTTATCTATTGAAATTAATATATTGGCTGGAATTAAAACTTGCAGCGAAGAATAAATTTTATGTCATTTCTGTCAACCAGTCAGTCATCCATATATCAATCAATCTCTCCATCCTTTCATTCAACTTGAAGTTGATACATTAAAGGCCCTATGGCGTCTAACAACTAAATGGAGCTAAACGTAACGCATAGCGTAAATAAAAACCCAAAAACGATGCTACTAAATTATGTTTGCCGTTTGAACAGTGGAGCGGAGACACAGAGTTTAAGAGTGACTAAGGGACACAGGGAGATGCACAGAGTCGGGAAATGGGTAAGCTCTTCCGGCAGTTGGAAAAGCGCCCACGCATGCCACCAAATTGCAGCCACAATTTGCTGCAACAAACTCAACTGAAAACTGAAAACTGCAAGCCGAAAGTGGAGCAGGCCCATGGAAAGGCATACATCAAATGTGTCAAAGAGATTTGTTATGCATGACAGGAGGCCGCTGCCAGCAAACTGGCAAAAAACGGCAGGAGCAGCTATAGGAATTTAAATAAAGATAACTTTGGGATACCTCGCAATTGGAAACTTAAACAATTTTAACAACATGAAAAGTTAACACTCGGAAAACAAATAATTCCAATTTTAATGTAATCATTTTAATGTGGAATTGATATGTTAACTTTATTTCTTCTATTTAATTGAAATAAAAATAGAATTGATCGACCCTTCTTAACATTTGAATTGTCTTACCTCCATGACATAATCACAATATCTTTATTACAGTGGGTTAAAATGATAAAAAATGGTGGGACTACTTAGGTGGGTTATATAAGAAAAATACTCCGAATGCATTTGTAGTGCCTTGCTTTATTGAACCGAAGCATATCCAAACTTCTTCAAAATACTATACTAAGAGTGCGAGTTTATGTGAAGTAGTGGGAATCTGCCTGAAATGAGTAAATCTACAAAGTAGGAACAACGTCGTTTCCCCGCAAGGCAAAGTGGTAAATAAGTAATTAGATCAAATTGGTTTTCTTGATGAGGTTAAGGAACTCCTCCCTGCAAACCTCGCCATCGCCGTTCAAGTCGGCCTCATCGATCATCTCCTGCAGTTCCTCGTCGGTTAGATTTTCGCCCAGTTCCCTGGCCACGCGTTTCAAATTCGCGAACGAGATCTGACCAGTGCGATCGTCATCGAAAAAGGAGAAGGCTTTCATCATGTCCTGCTTGGAGTCCTTCTCTGCCATTTTCTGGTGCATCAGATATAGGAAGTCGTTGAAGGCAATCCTTCCCGTCTTGTCCTTATCGATTTCATCCATCATGCGCCTGATCTCCTCCTTCTTCGGCTCGAATCCCAAGGCGCGAATGGCCACGCGCAGTTCCTTCGTTTCGATGAAGCCCGTGCACTGGGTATCGAACAAATCGAAGGCCTTCTTAATGTCCTCCTTCTGCGTCAGCGAAAGGTCAAAGGTCGGCAGCTTTACCCTTTTGGTTCGCTTGGTCTTGCTGGCGATCGATGCCGTCGATTGCATCGCACTGGCAGTGGACAGCACGCTGCCCAATCGTTTGCCCGACATGATGATGATTAGCTGCCTTCCCTTTTGTAATATGTATGGCAAAAACTCTTTTTTATGTGGAAATCGGAACGAATATCGTTGTAACAAGTTCAACGCTCTGTGAGTGTGAACGTATACTGTCTATTTATCGGGCGGGCTGTTCAAACTGGAAGACAGTTAGGGGTCGAGACCTACTCGATTACGATAGTTTTCCTATTGTTTTTTTCAGCTCTAGAATTTTTTTTAGGAAAAAGCTAAAATTTTAAGATACGAAAAAGCAAAAAAAATTATATAGAAAATTTACAATACTGACATTAACCGAAGAGCAACTTTTGAAATATGTAAACCTTAACTGGGAACTGGGAATATCTGAGAATTTAAAGACTTCTAGTAATCTCCCAAATCCAATTTACATCCCGCTAAATATTTTACCGTTTTCGAGTGCTTTTCATGCAGCATTTGCCACAACAATCAAAATTCATATGTGCCCTAATGCCCAGTGAACTTCAGCTCTCGACTTGGAGCGGAGACCCCGGCAATCTCCCCTTGGAATTGGGAAACAGCTTGGAGGCAACCCCAGTGCCAGTGATCCAGTGGGTGTGGCAGGTGTCAGTCAGTTGGTCCTTAGACTACAAACATCTCTACCCTCTACGTGCCACGCTCTGTTTGCTTATCGCATTTGCCTGTTGCAGGAGTTTCCCGAAACTCAGGTGGAAACCAGGTGGAGGCACGTGCCTCTCGCTGCTCATGATTACAATTACAATTACACGAAGTGGAGCGGGGATTTCACTCACCTGGGGGTCCGCAGCTGCCACTCCTGTTCCTGTTCCTTTGCCTTCGCCCGATCCCATTCCCAATCCCAATCCGATTCCCATTCCAATGCCCGTTTCCATGCCAGTCAGCGATAATTTACGATTACGCTCGCGCTCCAGTCTCATGAGTATCTGTGCGTTCTGCTCGCAGGAGTAGGTGTGCGTCTTACGCTTCCGTTCCAGACTGTACTCGTACAGCGGCCTGGCCGCATTCGGTTGCAGGTCGAGCTGCGCCTCATCCCCGGCATCGCAGCTGCAGAGGGACTGATTGGAGCGGCCCTTGCTCCGCTTTAGGGATCCGCGGTTCGACGATGAGGGCGTCAGTCGCTGCTCGCTTACGAAGTTCGAGAAGGTGACCACATTGCCAGAGGAACCTACAAAAAGAAAACAAATAAAAAACGTTACACCTAATTCTTTCAGACTTAACAAAGGTTATATTTTATATCTATACTACAAATTAAATGCTGTGCAAAAAAGATTCTAAGCAAATAACTGTTGTAAGGGTATTTTTTTATTCTTTAGTTATTGAGCGAGGTAAGCAAAATATTGTAATTATTTTTTAATTATAAAATATTTTACATTTTGTGATCAACATCTCAAAAGGACGTAATTTTTGGTTAGTAAATTAATAATACTTTTTTAATGAGCCAACATTAAACATTAATGAAACATGACTTTCCACAAAAGAACAGCACTTCTAATGCTAAAACTATAATAACTTCTTGTTATATTTATTATTTATTTTAAAAAGCTTAGGATTGGATTGACATTGATGGGGTCCCACCTGTTGTGGCTCCTTTTCGCTTCGAGGGCGAGACGTAGAAGATGTCGTGCTCGTCGAACTCCACGCTCCGCTGAGTGGTGATGGCAGCACCACCACCACTACTGGCACCACCCAGTGCTGTGGTTGCCGTGGCCGTGCTGCTGCTGGTGGTGCTGGCCGCACTGTTGCCACCACTGCTCAAGTTGCAACCGTGATCCGCCAGCGAGTGCAGCATGGGGTGCACCTGTCGATCTCTCAGCGAGTGCTGCTTATGCAGGCCATTAGCCCGTCGGAGCTCCGTCATCGTCCTGATTTCGAAAGGCTTTTATTCTTGGAGCCGGCTTATTGTCATCACACTGCTCATGAAATATTCATGCCACACTGCTCCGCCGCGTCGGCATTAGCATATCACTTTGATTTCCAAACTGACTTGCTATATTTTTAATTTTAAACTTGGCCTTTTGCTGGCTAAGCCGGCTAACGATTTCCTTGTGTCAATACAGCAGATTCGCAATCCGATTTGCCAGCTAACTGTTTCAATTCTGGCCCGCGCCCCTTGTCGTCTTGGCCCTCTCATCGCCAGCTCTTCCGAATCTCCTATTTTCACACCGCTTACATTCTTTTGCTCTTCTCCGGATTTCTGTGTTCGAGAGCTTCGCCTTTGAGACTCAGCTTCCTTTGGCGGCCCGCCTTTGTTTGCCCTGTTAATAGACTTGGCTCAGTCGCCGCCGGTTGTTTGTGTATAATAACTGCAAAGACACAGCCAAAGAGTGAGAAATGAGATTAGGCTTAGGCGATATGTGTGCTGAAAAGTCTATTCTAAATTGATTTCATTGTTTGCCAGAGTATCACAATGAGCGTGGGCTTGTAAATATGTACAAATAATTTATGGAGGGAACAACTTACTTATTTACTAAGGCATTTTCCCAAGCAAACGGTGTGGAAAATTGTCGGCAATAATTTTGGGCATCAATCAAGTTTTGATTTTATTAAGAGGTGACCCAAATTTGATTGCAGCTCGAGTGTAACAATTTATAAAAATGTCATTTTCATATGTTTAAAATTTGGTCAGATTTAATCGTTAAAAAATATGTAAACTATTTCAAGAATTTAATTATATGTTATATAATTTGTAGCATTGAGTCTATGCTCTAACAAACTCCGATTTAATTATTTTTGGCCTTAAAAGTCAGTTGAATGAACATTATTATTTATTTAAAGTCCCGAATTTATTATGAATTTACCTGTAATTAGATTAGCGCAATCAACTTTTACCAAATAGCTGGGATTTGGTCTTTTGATTTCTTAAGCGCGTGTAGGAAAGTTATTTTAAATTTGATCTCTTAGTCTATGAAATTTGTTCCGCTCCCTTCTTGTAATTTTAGGCCAAATTGAAACGCCTTATGCTAGGCAACCACATTTTCCTCCGTCTGTTTTTTAATATTTTGATGTCAAACTTTTCGCATAATCGATGGCAACTTTTTAATAAGCAAAAGCCGGCGAAACGAAAACAAAAGCCAAAACAAATATAATAATCAAGCAAACAGGCGGCAAAGGCAGTAGGAATTTGTTTGAGAGCAAAATAATGGAACGGCATGACAGCTAAGCTCCCCAGAAAGTATGCAACGTAATAATAACGTTAAAAGATAATGAGAACAGGCTAAATAGCAACAACAAGTGGCTTTGGTGTTGAAATTTCACCGATTTCGGTAATGCTATATATATATATATATATATATATATATATATATATATATATATATATATATATATATATATATATATATATATATATATATATATATATATAGGAAGGGACCAAAAGGGGGGCGTTAATATAAAGAGAAACAAATAGGCAACTTGAGCTAACTTTCAAGAGTCACAAGCGCCCACCCTCCGTGTGCGTATGTATACTTATCTGTATGTATTTGCGATATTTATCGCTTCTTAAGTATTTTTAAGAAGTTTGCCATCGCCAAGTTTTGTCGGCAGGCGACAGCAGCAGCAACAACCGAACAACCAACAACCAAACAACCCAACACCCAACACCAGCAAACATTTTTATCTTTGGCATATTTCGAGAGGCACTTCACTTGTCACAAGTCTCGCTAGGGAGCAAATTGTTAGGACTTTTTGTTTGGCGGAAGGGGACTCATTTCGAACATTCTTTTCGGCCAAAGTTTTGAAGGCTTTAATCAACTTGTGGCACTTAATGAGCGCCTGTAATGAGTTAATTGTTTCACATTGTTTTACTGCTCCAGAACGGTTAAGTATTTCATATAGTTGAGCGTTTAGTTTTAAAATATTTATACATTTCTTGAAAGTTTTTCTAATGAAAAAGCGTTTTATAAAATGCAGTCAACACATTTAAATGTGGGTTTATAGTATACAATTTATTTATAATTACCAAACATTTTTTATTTGCTTTTTAAGTGTAAAATATTTGGTAATTGCTTGTAACCTTAACAATATGAATCCATTTAGGTGGTATTCGTTTAACCAAATATGTTCAAACTGTTTATTTTGTGCATCCACATGTGATACCTAAATTTACTACTTGGTTTATGGCACCATCTACTTGGCTGGATTAATTAATTTCGGCATTGATTCGATTCCCTCACTTTTGTGGCACATATCTTAAAAAGGGTTTTACGCTTAGGTCGTAAAGTGCTAGTGCCTTTTGCCTGATAACCAGCATGGGAATTGGAATGGGAAAACCCGAAAGGACAACGCCAAACTCAAATGAAAATCTAATTTAGAGCAACACGCACAGGGAGTGCGAAGGAGAGCGAAAAACGGGGGAGAGCGGGAAAGCAAACCAAGTGATACATGGGTTCATGGCAGGCAGTAAAAGCCTCGGCCTGCCTTTCATTTGCGTTTAAGGACCTCAAAAAGGACTTCCGCCTGCACTGGCCTACAAATTAACATGCCCCAATCTGTGACTGTCTCTGTGCTTGTGTGTGGGTGCGAGGTGTGAGTGTGTGCGTATGTGTATGTGTGTAGGGTGGCATGAATTATGAGTAAAACAGCTGCAGACTTAATGGAAAATGCTCGAGCCCGGACAAGAGTTTTTCGCCGAAAGCACGCAAGGCGTAAATTAGAAGAATGCCAAAAAAGCATAGAAAGATAATTTTGGAAAACCAAAGTTTATGTACACTTGAACTATTATTTCAAGTTTGTTCATTACAACACAGTACAGTTTTAGGAAACAAAAAAGATTTAAAGCAGAACTTGTAAGATTATAAAGTAGCTTATAACTTTATGGTTCTTGCGTTAATTTGAAAATTCTTTTATAAGCTATAGTCATCAAAAACCTCCAAAAGAGTATACAACACAAATATGTACGAGTGTGATGTAATAAGTTGTTGTAATGCCCGCGTAACTCATAAATTAGACACGATCTATTACGGACGGATTTATATGCATGAGGAGTCAGAGACAACAGGCCAGAATTAAGCAGCACATAGCTTGATAAAGTGGGCTAGGAACGAGTGGGTGTCATTTTCAATTTTTGACGCGTAGTCTTAACCAAAAGTCCCGAACATGTGTTCTTGACATTAGGGGAAAAAAAATACA